AGATTTTGTTGGTCAAGCAACATAGTAGCTGCTTAAAGTAACATCAGACGAACAAAATCTTCAAAAATAGTATTAATCGAGGTGCAAAACAAATATACTAAAACAGTACAAGTTTTAGTAACTTATTGTGCTTAAGATAAAAGTGACAATGTATTATTTTTCTCTTATATAGCTAAATCCTTAGCAGAGCATGTTTTTCACTGTATTTCTGTACTGATCATATAAACATTATTTGGAGGTAAACATGCAAATCCAACTTTATAATGATTTAAAAAACAACATCCACAATAAAACAAGCAAACAAATCCCACATGTGAGAGGAACTGTCATGATTCTATTTAATGTTCTTAATTAGTTAATTTAAGAGTTAATCAGCATATAACTATGTGACTCAAATCTGAGTTCTGTTTAAGCCTTAAATCACAATAACACTTCTTCTACTTTGTCTCCAATTTGTTTTAATTATGTTGCACAACATCAGCATCTATACGTGGGGCTGGGAGGCTTATCAAAATTTATTTTAATTATCCTGTTTGATAAGTGAGATTAAAAGAAGGTAATCCAAGATCAATAAACATGACAGCTTAACTGGAGATTTGAACCAAATCTCCACAACTTCCAAGCATGTTCATCAGCAGATCTCTTCTGGATGTTGCTCCCAGAATGTATAACTGAGTAACAAAACCTAATTTACAAGAAATGAGTAAAATTGACATAATGCAACAATAACAACAAAAGCCTTCTAGTACTATCAACATCTTACTTCACCTTACCTTAATAGCATGTATATCAGTGCAACAAGGAACGTGAAGCCGAGCACAACGGCCAGCAAAACCTGGTCACTTATTCCTTCTATCATTGAATCATTACCTAGCACCAGTCTCTGAACTTCAGTTTCCTGGCTGGCCATTCCAGAGCTAGAACTCAAGAAACATATAAATACATGTTTACACATTGGTACAAACATTATTCTATTCTAGTTTACAAACAAATAAACAAAAACATGTAAACTTTCACACATTTTGGCACGTTACTTGACTTCCAAATGGCTAAGATTAATTCCAGGAACTCCATATCAGAATATGCTTTGATGTTCTCCATATAGGAAAAGCAGGATAATACTGTGTGATATTCTGATAGCCTGGATTATTACAGTCCAGTTTTAAATATACCATCAGAGGGAAATAGGAATAAAAAGTCCTTGAATGAAAATGGTTCCCAAATGTAGAAAAGGGAAGCCACAGAATGTATAACAACACAAATATATATTAGATGTGTGCTAAAAGCAGACTCTACTCCCAAGACTTGCATTTTGAAACAAAGATGACATAGCGGTAACCTGTATTTTTTTTCAAAGAGCAATCTGGACTTCAGTTTGAGGAGAGACTGCACGTGGGATGAATGATAGCACCATTATTATGAACTATATCGTGCGTGGCTTCCTAGCAGATAATTGATTTTATATTATTTAGGATATGTTAGATGGGTTATTGATTTTTTTCTTATAAATTGTGAATTTATTATTATTTCTCAACCTCGGCAACTTTAAGATGAGTGGACGTCAAATCCCAGAACTGATACTTCCATTTGTAAAGGTATTTAGCTTCCAATGACTAAAAGCACTTCTAATAAATAATAAATAAATAACCAAATAACCTGAAACTAGGCAGTGAGGAAAGATGCAGTGTACTTAAATAGGGATAAGTAGCAGTAATAAATGTTTGCCTCAAAATACATGCAGAATATATTTTCCTCCAAACAGCCCAACAGACCATGATACACTTAAAGCTGAGATTGTGCTTAGATTGTGATGGATAGCCTACACAGACTGAAGTCTCAATTTCTAGAAATTAAGAACCAATGCAATCGTCTCTCTGGTAAACTAAACCAGAGGTGACATGTTTTGGCTTTCCTCTCCACAATTCAAGCCTCTAGCAAATTAAAAAGGCACTTTTTTAAAACCAGCAACTCTTCCTTCGAAACTGATATAAGCTGGCCTTGCCTATTCTCCTCCACTCAGAGGTTTTCCAATACCAGAGTTTGACCCCTGGAATATGGAAATAAAAATCGGTGGGAGCCTGTGCAGAACATCTCTTCTCTACCACTAAGCAACAGCAGTTTCCTGTCTGCCTATGCTTAGGATTTAGGGTGCTATTAATTACATGAAAAAAGCTACCCCTACATTTACTCTCTGTATTTCTCTTCAGCCAAACAGCCAAATGACTAGCATAGTACAAAAACATTCACCAAAATGTTGATGCAATTTTTCAATACATTAAAAAACAAACAAACAGAGGAAGAATAAACCATTATTCTTGCCCAAACTATTCTTGCTCTCCATCCATGCCATCTTCTACCATGCTTCAATCTGTCTTCCCCTAATCACTAGAACAGTGTTTCTCAACCTTGGCAACTTTAAGATGAGTGGACCAACTCCCAGAGTTCCCCAGCCAGCATTCTAGGAATTGAAGTCCACTCATCTTAAAGTTGCCAAGGTTGAGAAACACTGCAGTAGAATATGTACAACTGTAAAACTATCCGATAGCACTAGGATCTTAGGGTTAGAGAAAGATAAAATGCATTTAGATAAAAAGCCTATCCATGCAGAGGTTAATGTGTAACTTTTCAGAAAGCCTCTGTGCAAATGCCAAAAAGGGAAATCCTTGCTTTAATATAATGATATTTTTAGATCAATACCCACTCTTTACCTCAGCTGGAAATGGGAAGACTCATCACCACGTCATCAGAGAGTTTTCTTCAGAATCAAAGCAAATGTTTCAGATGCTGGAGTTCGAGACCTCTGAGCTGTACCTTAGAAAAAGGGATATTTTCAGGCTACTTCTTAACTCCATATTTTAGCATAGCATTTGTCTTACATTATTTTCACATCCAGAGATAGGGATATGAATAAACCTATCCTCATATGGAATAAAGCACAAGAGGATGTAAAAAAACATCAAGAGAAGATACTGTAAAATCCCATCTATTCTCAAATAAACCAGGAATGCAATAGTGAAAAGTACTAAAATGAAATTAATTTTGGAAAATATTAGAATTTTAAAATATACAGTTGAATTCCTGTTCCCATTCAGCTCATGCTATAAAGCCATGGTTACAACAATGCAGTATCCATATAGTCTGCCCCACTTGAATCCCTAACCTTCTTCCAACATTTTGAAATAGATTTGCATTAATGTGCAGTCCTTGAATCTCTGAGCTGGTAGAGAAAAATTAACTGGCATAAAATTTGCTGATGTGACTGACGAGCCCCATTTTGCCTCAGCAACAAGGCCAGCAAGTTGTACTGTCCTTCGAGTTTTAATGCAATCACGAGTTAGTGACTGGTGAATTCCCTTGATTTTGCTTCTACTCCCATGAAGTGTCATTTACAGGCAGAATTGGTAACTACCAGTTGCTCTCCCTAATGTACAGCAGAAATGGGGGAAGAGATAAATTTTGATAGATGACTAGATTTCTCCACGCATCTGAAAAGAGCCTTTCTGCACTGGGAAAAACTCCTGCAGTCCTCATTGATATTAGTAAAAGTATATACAGGTAGTGCCCAGGTTAAGAATGTCCAGTTTAAGGATGATCCATTGTTAAGAATGGAGCCTACTGTAGCAAACCAAGTTAAATACACGATGATTCAAGTTAAATACACAATGGTTCGAATTCATTACACAATGCTACTTACACAATATTATACAATAATACTATTCTAGCTTACACACAAATTCAACTTAAGGACAGACCTTGGGAATGGAACTTGTTCTTCAACTGGGGGCTACCTGTACTCCAGTTGCAAAAGAACAAAAAACAACAACAACAACAAGAGCCTGCCCTCGCCTTATTATGATACTCCAATAATGAATGGGCAATGGTAAGCTTAATTAGCCAATAGCCTGGCTAAGTATAGAGCAGTTTCCCATGTTCCTATGTTCTGCTGATACTTTCTAAATATATAGTCTTTATTTTTCCACAACCTAAGTCAACAAATTTAGGACCCTCTTGTTTTAAACTGTTTATAAAATACGAGATAGTGAGTGTTCTGCTCTGTACTTCATAGCTTACAATGGAACTACTCTACAGGCAGAAAGCTCTGAAAGAGGGTTACAAGTCTGTCATACGTAAATATAACCCTAATGTTAATGCTCTAACAGTACACGAAAATTCTACATTAAGGCACGCCCAATCTTTCTTGTTACTGAACCAGGAAGGTGAAAAAACATTCCAGAAGACAGAAATGATAAATCATGTTCATACTGTTGCCAAGAAAACTATATAGGCATCTCCAGGTAGTTACCTGCTGAACTCAAATCAAGGTCTTACCAGAAATAAGGCTGAGAGCTATATAAAATTAAGTAGAGGACCACAGTTGCACCACCCCCATCTCACTTCCACCAGAAGTCATCCACAATCATGAACATACTCTGTCACACCCATACCTGGGCCTGAAACCTGATTGAAAAGCATCCAGATAATCTGCTTATTCTAGGACTCTCTGAAGCTGCAGCGTAACTACCTTAGAAACCTTCTTTAAAAAGAGAAGGTTGGAGACAGGATGAAAATTGTCCAACACACTTGGTTCATTGATGGCTTCTTGAGAAAGTAGACCACCACGTCTCTCAAGAATAAATGTTCCACCACCTGGACTCAGCTACCCATCATTTCCCAGGAAGACCTAGCTAACCAGGAGGTATATGGATCTAATATACAGGTGGCTGACTAACAGCCCTGAGAACCCTGTCCATTTCCTCAGAACTAAAAGGATCAAACTTATCCCAGACAACAGAGCCAGAATGTGCTTCTGTCAGCTTTGCAGGACCTGTCACACAGCCAGATCAGCCCTGCAGGTGTATATCTGGCTCCATCCTTCCAAGGAGGGACCAGGATATTTTAAACAGGGTCATCAGCAAGCAACCTGAAGATGCTATAAGGCAGAAAAATAAGTATGTTTTGTTGCCCTTTATCACTATGAGGTAGCCCTTAATAAAGGCTCTAATCCAAGTCTGACTGGATTCTTTCATCTCCTCATCCAGAGTTCCTCTGTAAACCAAGAAAAACCCTGGGCTCTCTAAGCAGGGAGAGGATACATAGGTGCAATCTGATCTAAAGCTGCAGCCCCCCTCTTGTTCCAAGCAGCAACCAAGACTTCAGTCAAACTATGCACCAGACTTTCAGGAACAGCCTCAAGCCCCCTTTGAAAACCAGATGGGCCTATCAGGTATCTGGGGTAGACTGACTGAAAAGGTATTGCCTCCTTGCAGCAGGGAGCAGTGCCAGAGCACTTCAAGGCAATCAGAAAGTGATCAGTCCATGATGAGGGGGTGACAGAAATCTCTCCCAAAATCAGACCATGTCACTGCTTTGAGACAAAAAACGGATGTGTTGTGTGACCACCTCTGTGTCAGGTCCTTGATGACCTGGATCAGGTCTGTGGTCACCTGAGCGACATCTGAATTTGCACCCAAGGAAGCCAGGATTATAAGCTTGGGGAACTCCAGTGGCAACCTGGCTACGGAATTGAAGGACTCAGGCAAGGAAGCTGGTATAGCAACAACAATCCCAACTGATCCCTAGGGCACAAATTTACAAACAGGGGCTCACATCCAGTAATCTGCGAAGCAATGTCTCTATAGTTACCAAAATATCCTGGATGAGCATAGTTATTCCCTGGCTTGGAATCTTAAGACATAAAACATTAAAATAACTCTTGAAACAGCAGAAAATCATGCTGCCAATCTTCAGAGTTTTTTCCACTGAATTTTGCTGGTGAGATCAGGAGGGCCTCTGGGAATAAAAAAAATATCATATTGAATAATTTAATAAGATTCAATATCTTTTAAGATTCAAATTATTATTTTGATCCTAAGTGGGTTAGGTTATCTATCTCTGAGTTAATCTAATAATGACACTAATTAATGCTTCCTGGCTTAAATTTATAATAAAATATATAGCAATATACATTCTGGAAAACTATTCCTTGATTAACATTTATCTGCTACAGAATTCTTGAGCACATGCCATGCATCCTTTGTACATGGCAAAGGATTCTAAGGCATGTTCCAAAGCACAGAATATGGAGAAAAATTAATAAGTGATGGATAAGATTTTAAAAAAATTGATATTCTCCTTTAAGAAAACTCAGAGCTCTCTAGATTAGCTTAAATGCAATATTCTATAATCTATTTTATTCTTCAATGTTGTTGCTTGACTCATAAAAGTTTACTGCCATTCATGCTGAGTAAAGTATACCATATAAGCAAGTTTGAAAGGAAAAGTGCCATGAGGGGAAAAATATTATTGCAGTAATTCACCCACTCCAAAGGATCCTGTGATATCTTAAGGGAAATTAATTATGAAGTAAGTTTTCTTGTAAAGAGTTTACCTTGATACATTAGACTATCTAGAAAATGTACTTTCAATTTTTGTAGTTGAGTATAAAACCTGTCAATATCCCAGTCCAAGAAGATGAAACCAGGTGCCATCCTACCATTCCAGATCTATTCACATGTACTATTTATTCCTGGTAACTGAAGAGCTTCCATTATCGTGCCTATGAAATTTTGTCACTGCAAGATACATCACTTTGACTTCAAAAAGTGAACACGGAGAAACAACACTTGGCTATCTTCATGTTATGAATCTGCTAACTCAATAGGCTCCACCCCTCACTTCTCAAAAAAAAAAAGTGCAAAAAAAATCCAATTCATTTTCTTTCTTCACTGGCTGCGACTTAATTTTTTCATTGCAATTTCTTTCACTAACTTGGCTTTCGCTGCTAGGTGAAGCAGCTACAATTGAAAAAACAAACAAACCCAAACCCCAATACAGAGTCTGCGTATTGATGCAGAATTCCTGAGGCTTATTGCTCTCTTTAAAGCCAGAACTAGAATCCAAGGCTGGTCCTGGGTTTCCATTTCTGGAGTTTCTGCACTTCCTATACATACATGTATATAGCAAAGCAACTACATCGTTAATGCTTTAGAAATTAGCACAGTGTCTCTCCATCTTGGCAACTTCAGATGTCTGGACTTCAACTCCCAGAATTAAGAAAAGGCAGAAAAACCAAGTATGTTTATATATGGAAATGGAAGGCTGCAGTCCCGAGGCACAGCAGGGCACACATCTGAGTCATCATTACGCGTGCTTTGCGTGCGGAAGTCCCCGGGTTCAAACTCTGCCATTTCCAGGCAACTTGGCCGCGGCGGCGGAGCGTCACACCGGGGAATAGACCATGACTGCGCTCACCTGACGTGGTTATCTCTGATTCAGTCAACCACACCGTATGGAATTAACCCACTTTCCTGGATTCGCCTGGCACCCTGACCCGTAAACTACCCACGCAGCCTGGGTTTGCACACATCTAAGGAAAACGCACAGATCCGATCCCACTTTCGATGCGGGGTTCCCCCCAAAGCTCAACAGAAGAGGATTTCCCATTCCCAGCCATTGTTGCAACCCTCCAGACGGCTTCCTCCCATCCTGCAAGCCCGGCCAATATGTCCATCCCTTTCCTCCAGGGCTTCAAGTTACTTCGGGTAACTATTCACAAAAGGAAAAAAAAAAAAAGGGCGGAAAGGGACCCTAAGCCAGTCCCTCCCCCGCCCCCCCCAGCAAAGACCATCTTCGGCACTTGGTCATTTCTGCAGGCGGGCGGGACTTCCAAGGCACTTCTGTGGGAGGGCACAGCGGGGAAAGCTGCCTTGCCCACAGCGGGCAGGGAAGGCCGAGTTT